AAGTTTATGGCGTCAGCTTTTGACCAAGGTGGTCTTCTCGAAATGCAGGTATATAATGAAAAAAGATTGGAACTTAAAGGGGGGTAGCAAGCATCAGGATGCTTTGGATAGACATGGATAGACCATTTGGTATAGGTTGATGTGAACATGCCCATAAGCGACTCCCGGTGGAGGAATCCATGCACCCCAGGTCTGGATGAAGTCGAAGCCGATCCAAAACCTCTGGAGTCTCGCTTGGTCTTGCCTGGCAGGACACTCCTGAAGGTCTCAGTCTCCTTCAGTCTCCTTCAGTGGCTCAGTCGTCTCTTTTTCCCCACCGGTCACGGGGTCGGATCTCGGTCCGCCTCGCCTCTTCTTCCATCTCAGGCCCATCCTCGACCGCCGTCATCCGCCGTGCGGCCGGGCGGACGGTATGTCACCGACGGTGCGGGCCGACCGTGGGGGGCGGCGCCGCCCGACGACGTATCGGGGAGGTGTGGGGCGGCGCCGAAGGTCGCCGAAGCCTTTCAACAGTAGCAAGGAGTTTGGATGGCTTCCACGTGTCTGTCTGAGGAGTTGAGAGGGCCTGGATGGGCACTATGATAGGGGTTGGGTCTGCTTTTTGGCGGGGGGCGCGTTTGCGGGGGGAGAGTTCAAGGTGAGGGTGTTTCGGATCCCATACTAGGCTTGTTCACATAATCTTGGGACAAAGGTTGTCTCAAACCTTCGGCGATGCATTCCCTCACAAGCAAGCACGCACCCACAGGCTGCAGAACACAACCCTGAAGACCCCCCCCGTGGTGAAAGCGCACGAGACAGCAGAACCCCTTCATACCCCAAAACTCCGATTTAAAACGACGCAAACATATTAGAAGAAATCCTCCAGTGCACACCATCTCCTCATTCTCCTCCCTCTAAGCCACGGGGCCAGATCTTCCATCCCTTCGTCCATCATCTCTTCGATCAACCCCGCGCGCATCATCTCCCGCTTCATCGAGCTGATCGACTCCTGAAGCCGCAACACACAGCGACACACCGCGACACACGCGCCGCGCCGCGCGTGTGCGATGGCGCGTGCGTGCGCAACCCATCGGCGGCCTCCATCTCGGGGATGCGGACCAGGGAGTTCATCTGCTTCATGACCTCGCAGAGTTTGAGGACACGGCTTTCGGGGGGCTTGGAAGATCTTGGAAAGTCATGAACATTCATGGGCAGTCCTAGCTTATATCCTTAATTCTCCTCTATATTACTGGTCGGTGAGTATATGGGTGGCGTTGTGCTTGGTCTCGATATTGGTTGAACACTGGCGAACAAAAGTTGCATCTGACCTGATCTCACCTGTTGGTTGCTGGGAGGGTAGGGAGGCTGCAGCTTGGCGGAGAAGGATGCATCTTGGTGGTGGGGAAGTGGAAAGCTGTGGGCACTGATGATCCATGTAGGGAATGTCGAACTGCTTCTTGATGACGGAGCTGATCCGAGTTGGACATCAAAGCTAGTACTGAGTGAGCGCATAGAGCAATTGAGCAAGGCATGGAGAGCACCTCAGACTTTTATTCGACCCCTTTGAGTCGTAACTGGAGTCCTATCCGGTGGGTCCTAGCCCACCCCGCGAGGTGTACATCCTCAGCTAAAATTCATGTCTTCAGGGTGAAGAAAGAGCTCTCTCAGGCACCTGACTGGGTAGATCCTCTTTCATTACTTCTTTCGCAAGTCTGCAAGGGTCAAAGCCTGTCACTATAGAATTGCAAACATGGTCGACGCAGCCACTCTGTCACTGGCCAAGAGCGTCACTAAAAGCAACGGTCTTCACAGGACTTGGTAATCCGGCAACCGGTGACTGGTTGCACGGTAGCGGAGTTCTAAAAAAAAAGTATCTAAAAAAATTGTATACCAGGAGTCACATGTCGGGGTGGTGTTTAGTCCCATCCAGGGGCTGTGGATGTGGATCATGGGCACCCCTACAGTAACCTCCATTTTTCTTGCACCCCATCTGGTAAAGCCTGCTGGTAAAGCCTGCTCCCATCTCTTCCTTTCCCATCTCTCCCCTGCCCTTCTCCCTCCCATCCGACTCGCGCCTCGGTGGATTTGCTCATGGAGTCGGACAAGCGCATCGTGGCGGCGGTCGTCTCCAGCTCGGCCGCCGCCTGGTCGGGCTCGGAGCTCCCGCGCTGGAGCGTCCCGTGGAGCGGCCTTCGTTGTTGGCGGGGGTTGGGGTAGTATTTGTGGGTCAGGAAGTAGTGGACTCACATGATGTCATTCGTCAGATCGAAATAGAAAACGGCATCACTGCGACCTGTAGACTGAGGAGGTAAGATGTTGTGAGTTGTGAGGTAACGTGTTTTGCCTGTGGACAGAAAGGACTACCAAGTTGTTTGGGGGTGATGTTGGCTGTTGAATTTGAATGAAACACAAATCAGATGAAAGTCTGTGATTCAGATGATTTGCGCCGGTGTTCTGAGACCTCTTGTTGGATCAGGATGGATCTGGTGTCTTTTCGTGCAGCTCCAGTTCCAACGACAGAATGTGAGATGATCAGAAGAGGATGACGACCTCTTTTGTTCTCCTTATCCTCCTCATATCTCCTCCTTATCCGTCTTCCATCCTTTTCCCTTTTCATCCCCTTTCCCTCTTCCACCCAACACATCTCCCACCATCTCGACCGCTTCCATCCGACCGCTGCGGCCGCAGGACACTCCACACCGACACACCCTCCGACCCGTAGCTTCTCTCCGTGCCCCCGGCAGATTGCATGATGGATCTCGACGTGTACAGCCGCGCCTGGACCCGCCGATCGACCCGCCGATCGACCCATCGGGGGAGGCGTCCTGGAGTGTCCCTTGCAACGTCCTCCGCGCCCTCGAACCTCGGGGGCATTGGGGGTTTTGGCCGTCCAAGGGGCGTCCAAGAGTCGTCCAAGTCTGGTGGACCAGAAGAGCCCATCAAAAGGCCAGACTGCGGCTGGTGAGAGGTTTGGATTTTTGTTGCAGTCTGGCCCATGTTCAGGCGCATTTATTGCTTGCTGGATCTTTTTGGATGTTCTTGGGGAGGTTTGTTTGTGGGCCATTGTCGGCTGAAAACCGTGCAAACGCAGGTCCAGGTGAACACCCTAGAATGAAGAGGCCGTTTGCCTGCAATGAGGCAAAGTTTCTAGGTCTAGTCTTTGCAGGCACTGGTTACCCACAACATGCGACAACTGGATCCACTGGCTACGTGTTATTCATTGTTTCCTATCAAACTGGAACAGGTGGAACTCTGCCTGCAAGAGTACACCACAGATTTGGCCCATTCTGCCTCCCACGACCCAACATTCCACTTTCCGACCTTGCCGACCTTCAGGGCGGAAGGCTTCTCTGGAAGGGTTCTTCCGTTGAAAATCCTCTGTCTTCGATGCAGAATCCCTAACTCATCCAGGTCTTGTCCAGGTCTTTTCCCCCTTGTGGGGAAAAATGCCAACCTCCTCATTGACGTCTTGAACCTCCTCATACCTCTTCCTTTGAACCCAAAACAGGACGCCCGACTTGTGAGGACACTGCATCCTCCAGGGCGTTGCCAACCCGAGGCATGACCGCGGGGAAGCCCGTAACATGCGCGCCCGAACGGCAACGACGCGTGGCAACGACCGCGCAGGCCTTGGCCTTACTGGATCGGACCAGCGACTTGGCCAGCATCTGAACACTCTTGGGATCACCTCCCTTGCTGGCCATCGCCTGGCAGCCGACGCCGCAAACACCGAGACAGGACCAACAGATGTGGTGTTACATACCGGTTCAGAGCAGCTCTCCTGACGCAGTACCCGGACAAAAAGGATGTCCGCCTAGACCACAAGTTCTCCACCTATAGACCTGGGCCATAAAGCAAAGTGATTGAAGCTCCGCCCCCCAGAAAGACCCGCAAGGCCTTGATCTCTCCTCTGATCTTGTCTTCTTCCTGTTCAATCTTCCTGCAGCTGACATCATCCGAGAAGCTACAAGTATTCCCAACAAAGTCTCAACATGTCTCAATAGTATTGATTGAAGACATCAAGTCCAATGAAGCAGTTGCTTCGTCCCGTCGAACTTGATATACGGGATCTTAAGTTGTTTGGGGTCAGTTTTTTTGGCTGGTTCCAAGAAATGGACGGCCACATGCAAGATCCATGCAAGATCCTGCAGGCCTACAAACACCCACCTCACCTGCTCTCTCCCTGCCCAAACCGCGACAGTGGGGGGGGTGCTAGCATCCACCGAGCTCCGCTTCACCCTTTGACCGCGACCGGTCACGAGGGACGGCGCCTGATGCTGCGGTCCACACCACGGACCTCGGAGCGCAGCTTCCGCTGCCAGTCCCGGACCATCTCCTTGGCGGACTCCTGGCCGGTCTCGGGCCGGGCCGGACTCCTTGCTCGGAGAGAGATCATTTCGGTGGGTGTTCACGGTAGAGGGAGCGGAACGGTGTGACCTGGGAAAAATACCCGCCAAACCGCACCAGGTGGAACCAGAGGTGGAACTATATAGGTGGCTCTTTTCTGAAGCTTTTGCAAGTCATGCGCACGTGAACACACGTGCACGAAGACGCGCAGACGCGCACGTGTGCGCACGTGTGCGCAGACGCGCACTTTCTTCGCCATCGAAGCTGTCCCAGTCCTTCTGTGCTTCTTCCGTGTGGCCGGAGCCGAAGAGATTGATGCCCAGCGGCATGGCGTCCACGACGGCGTCCGCGTGGTGTGCGTCCGCGACCCGTTGCGCGGCAAAGCGCTGGTGTTCCGCAAAGGAAAAAGCGAACAGTGGCTCAGTGCCTACAAAAGTCCAGTTGCCAAAGAATACACCTGAGTGATCTTGAGTGTCTGAACTCATCTCAAAACAGCACCAGTAGCCCAACTGGTGGATGATCAAAATCGCTTCCTAAGGTAGGTCAGTCGAGTTTTCAGAGTCAGCTGCCAGGGTCTGAAGGTTCGGTGGTTGCTTGTCATTAGCTGTGTCCGGATTCCGGACGTAACGTCGTGAGCTGAAAGGCCATGTGTGAAAGGCAAGGTCCGCTGGTCCGCTTCCAGCTGCAAGGGGCAGGCAAGGTCAACCTCGAAGGAATAGCTCGGTTGGGGGCCAGTTTCTAAAGACTCAGAAGCCCCATGCAGGGCATCCTCCAGATCTTCACAATCATCATCTGAGCAATACAGCTTGGCCTTCAAATTGATCCCACCTCCTAAAGCTAAGCTAGTCTATTATATAATAATTAAGCCTAAAGCGGCGGGTCTCGCCTCTGAGACCTTCCGAACCCACCCAAGATGAGGAGGCCATCATAGGCCATCTGGTTCCATCTTCCGATGCTCCCGACAGGTCCTTTCCGCCAGGTTCTGCGCTGTGATTCTGTTTTCAGGTTCTTCTTTCTGACCCTCTCTAACTCTGAAGTTCAGTCCCAAATCAAGTCTCATCTCTTAGGCTCTTCTGATCTTTCTGTCCCATCAAATCTCCGGAAGAAGTTGAACACATGCCACACAAGAGCTTGGCCCCAGAAAGAAGTGAGAAAGAAAAGAAAAGAAAAAGAAAAGGAACGCACGAACGAACGAACGAACGAACGAAAGAAAGAAAGAAAGAACGAAAGAAAGAGCTGAGATGACTCAATTGGATTCACTCACTTGGTGCTGTTTCAACATGTTCACGAGGCCGTCGGTGCGGAGGTCAAGAGCATCATTCGATGTCTTGACACCTATCACTGTACAATGAGATCCTTGCCTCATACTATCGATGCATGGAAAAGATGATCCAATCTTTGGAAGTGCCTCGACTTACCAAAGGGATCGCTTCTCACTCACAGGCTTAATTTCGTTGTAGATGCGCATGACCTTTCAAGAAAGAGAAAGCATGAGAAAGCCACATCCGCGGGTTGTCGCCTCTGGGTAATTACGTGGACATTGGGGACACGGCGACCGCGGAATGAACTCCTGTTGCTATGATCGCTGAAATCCGACTCATGGATCTCCATCCTAGCCCCACTCTTTACACTGAAGCAAAACGTTCCTCTTTTACCCAGCTCCTGCCCAGGCAGTGACACTGTGACACCCTGACACCCCCCCGCCGGTGCCGGAACCACTCTGTTTCGCGGCGCGCCGCGCGCCGTGCGGAGCCGGGCATCCCGGACGTTTTGACGATGCTCGGTGAAGGGCGAGGGCACGAAGTCGGGATACACCTGCCGTCGGCGCAAGAGTCGGGGCGGTGAGAAATTGCGGAAGCGCCTCCGGCGCCAGCGGTTGTTGGAGTCAAATGAGAACGTGCTAACAGTGATTTTGGAGTGATCTGTTTTAGTTGGACAAGATTCAGCCCAAACGGTTTGCATCGGTTGGGCGGGAGCACAACGACTCCAATTAATGGGTGTTTCAAGGAGTATTTATCGATGATACAAGATGTCACAAGCAACGACTTGAAGCCATACTTCCAAACTAACAAAAAGTAGTACAACGCACCTTGACAATCAAAGAGAAGACCAACATGTGCCCTGGTGGAGAGAGTGGGATCAGCAGGATGATGAGGAAGGGCACCAGCACCAGCAGGTCCTCCCATGAGCGATAACAACGCGAACGAGCGAATGTGTGTATGTGAGGTTTTGTGAGGTACTCAGGGGGAATGCAGCGTTCATCCTGGAATATGGAGCCTTTCGCAAGGTAAAGAACATTGAAGAATCAAATAGAATGAGTTAAGTACAGGCAAAGAGAAACTCCTCGGGCTAGATTCTAGATGAGTCTTGCTTGAAAGGGTTGGACTTGAGGATGGCCTTTGCTCTCAGTTATATAAACGGCCTTTGGAAAGGGAGTCCGCCGCAACATCGGGCACCACTCTCTCAATCTCCCTCGCCCTGCGAAACTGGAGACAGTTCCATCAAGTCTGCGGGTATTTGGGTGGCATAGATGTCAAAGATATTCAAAGATCACAAACCAAAAAAAAGGACCCCATTGCGACGGAAAACCGGTACCCTCGGAACCAACCACCGGCGGTGGTGAACCAAAACTTCGGCAGTTCTTCAGTCGAGGGGGCGCCGGGACAGAAGCGGCGCGGTGGCGGCGAGCAAGGCACCAAGGGGCGCGCGCTCCTTGACCGCGCGGCGGCAAACGTTCACCTCCCTCTGTTGCAGTGCGTGATTCAGGAACAGCACCTGGCGACCGCGTGAGTGTCCGCGAAAAAGCGTCCACGCGATGCGAAACACGCTGTTTATCGATGATGTTCTTCTTATTGGTTTTTGGTTTTTGGCTCCTCGTCACGCGGGCCCATCTTGTCGGGGGGGAAGCTCGACATTGAAACAGCATACAGTTGGGTCTATCGTATTACCAGGGCCCAGTGGATTTTTGGGGGCCTGGTTGCAGGCCTTGTTCAAAAATAGGACAGACCCAAAACCATAAATCCACCAGTCTCGGCACCCCTGTGCAGGCACCTTGAGGACGAGCTTCAAGGCATGTTGCAAATCCTCCGAGGAACTGAAAAGGAGTCGCATCAACGAAGGACGAAACGTGAGATACAACAAAACTTCAAATGGCTTCACCCCGTCAATCAAAGAAGGAAAAAGAAAAGATAAGAATGAAGAAAAACAACTCAAGCGCGATGACTTGCCTCATGCGGTTTTGTGCAGCTGTCAGCAACATATGTAATTGTTTGTTCACGCCCAAACAGACCTTCAAGACCCTCCCCCTCCCGTTTCCTTCGCCCCCTTCGGGTTTCCCGCGCACGTCGCTCCATCCGCCCCCTTCGCCCCACGCCAGAGAGGAGCCGCGCCTGGGAGAGGAGCCGCACGCCACTGGCCTGGAAGACGAGGCCGCGGCGGATCTTCTGCCAGAAGCTGCGCAGGGAGACCCTCAGAGGCACGCCACGGAGTAACAGAGACGGGTGCACCGTCGCGAACTCATCGGGTCCTGTTTGCACACACCAACTCCAAGGTGCATACTGCAAGCACATCTGGCCCACATCTCACACCAGAAGTGTCCACTGGGTGGTCGGCTTTTGTCTTCGAACCAGCGCAAAGAAGCCTTGCCCTGGCGACACAGGGCGTGGCAGTCAGAAGAACATGTGGCCCCCTGTCTTTGGCCTCAGAAAGTTGATCGGGATTCGGGTAAACAAGCTAAACAGCACATCCCAATCAGCTGGTTTACCAAATCAGCTAAATGGGATGTCTTTTTACTTTTTACCTAACATGTTTTGACATGTTTCAACCAGCTAAATGGCAGAACTCCACTTACCTGACCTGCGGAACAAAAAGCAAGCCGCAGTTGTCTCCATGAAGAGTGAGAGTTCACCTCACGTCTCACTGAAAAATAGAGTATATAAAGACTTCCAGCAGTCACAAACGGGTGCCTATTGGAGGATAGGAGTGCCCAGAACATCCACAGCCCCTGGATGGGGCTAAAGACCACCCAACTCCATGTGACTCCTGGCTGAAAAAAACATCTACTATACTAGCAGCGATCAAAGACCGTTCCTAGTAGCCGTTCCTAGTAGCCCTAGTAGCGATCCAAAGACATCCAACTCCCGCTCCGAGATGACTCCGAACGCCCCTCCGAACCCCTCCCACTCCACCTGTAGTCGTCCCATCCGTCCCAAACTCATCGGAACCCATGGGCCGATCCAACCATCGCCCCTATCGGGGACCCGCGCGTTGGTTGATCCGCTCCACCTGTAGTCCCACCCGCCCGGCGATGCGAACCTTAGGGCGCGTCGCGCGTTCGGAGCGTTCGGAGCCCCAAAGCCGTTGAGCCGGTGAAGCCGTGCCAAAAACCGGCGGTTGTAAGCCGTAAGCGAAGGTTCATCAGGTACATGATCCTAAGAAGACCTCGTTTTGGGGGAGCGCCAATGTGGAGATGAGTTCCTCACAATTTGGTGGGTGTCACCGAATTGATCAGATCATGGCACCGTACTCCATTTGGCTATCGGTCATGGAGTATGAACGGACTAAGGAGGTCAACCTACGCTGGTGACCGGGGAGACAGGTGCCACCGTTCCGTAGAATTCCTCCTCGACAAAGTACTTCGGTCAACCCATTTGACTCATTCAACCACTAATAACAACTTTGTACACAACAGGTCACTAACACCCAGACACCGAGTGTCCCAACCCCGCCTAAAAATGGTTTATGCGGCTAAGATGCGAAAAACCTTCCCAAACTCAATCCCCATCGAGGTTCCTTCGCTCGCCCCAAAAACGTCCATCCCCAAGGAACGAAATGCGTCTCCAGCATCTGCAGCTCGTCCAGGTCCAATCCTCGGACGCCCTCGTCCTGGCGATGTGGCCCACATCGGCCCGGTGTTCACGGCCCGGACGGTCTTCGGCTCGGCGCGCGCACCCGGGTGGGTCTGCACGTTCACGAAAGCGATAGTTCCCGAAAGCGGAGGGGGCGGGTTTGGAGAGGCGGTTGGACCCAAAAGCACTGGTGGTTGGAGAGATTTAGTGGGTTTCTTCTCTGCGAGGGAAGATGCCGTAGATTTGCAGAGTGCCTTTGCAGGAACAAGGCGAGGAGGTGCAACAAATAGCTAGAGCAAGGCGAGGAGGTGCATCTGGCATGTTCTGAAGATTTCTCAAGCGTGTGCTTCCCACTGCGAATACCGGGAAAAAGGATCCACCCATCCCACACTTGCAGTATAGAAATGCTTCAAATGAAGACAGAGTCTTCATGTGAAATCTATTTATTGAGTCACCCAGACATGTGAACAAACATGTGAATCATTGTGAATCCAAACATGTCAAGCAGGCCTCTGGATTTTGCTGAAGGTATATCCTGTATGGAGCAACCTGGCAGCATCAGAAAAAGAGGTTGTTTTTTCACCACTTCTGCGGTTCCCTTCTTGGCTCCAGAGAAGTAAGAACTCGGCGTAAGTGGCATAAAACTAATTTCCCTTTTTATGACATCACTCACAATACAGGAAACAACCGGAAACCCATTGCTTCACGGATCTTCCCCACAGTGAAAGCAGGGTGAAACCCTGCTAGGTTGTGATGTTGCGATCTTGAGACGACATGCTAACCTTGGATTGTTGTATGCTTTGGCACCGCACCTGCTTGTCCAACAAGGCAAACTCATAGACCAAGAGCTTCAGGCGTCGGCCTGGCCGCGTTTACAGACCCAAACAGAAAGCGACTGAAGACTGGATGGCGTGGACCGTGTTTCCTGGTTGATGAGACCAATGACATTCTCGGTGTGGAAGCACTGAAAGACATGAAAGCCGAAAGAAATGGTAGGCAAAGGTAGCATGATGCTTTGCATTGCAAGTGGTACCATTCCAGAGATCGGCCGGTCGGGCCCAATGCAATGCAAAGACCAATGGTTCCCGGGAGCGGCTTTTTCCAAGTGTGATGCTTTCTCGCATGCGACTCCCGTGTGGGTCTCCCCACGGCTGTTTGAACAAGGTTTGAGCACCCCTAAGATGTCTCATGATTTCTCGCGCTGGTCCGAATTGGAAAGGCTCAGGGAACGAGCGTCCAGCATCTTCACGCACCTGACCCAAACTTCTTCACCTCACATCCACGCAAAACCCATCATTTCATGCGCCCAGAAAAAACTATAAAAAACAGAAGAGCCCTTTCGCAAACGCTCCTGGGAACAAAAAGAAAAGAAAAACAACCTTCCACGGCAGAGGTCACATGGTGGCCATCATGGTGGCCGGTCGCAAGCAGCGAACGGTCAAGTGCCTGAAATGTCCCACTCGGCAATGGTCGCTTGCTCAAGCAGCTTCTCCAGCTTCCAGGCCACCTGGTCTCGTCAGCGGATGGAGACTGACGAGACAGCTCCTAGGACCCCCCCCAGTCTGAGCCATGCGCTACTACTACACCCACGTCAAATCAGGTACTACTAGTCACTATAGTTCGTCCCGGGGTCCCGAGTCCACATCACTGAGTCGAAAGAGTTCAAGTCTGACTCTCGGTCCGTGTCGTACAGGTTTCTGACGGTCCACTCGGTTATCAAGCCGAACCACACCAAAAAGAACAGGGCACGGGCAGGAGCACACTGCATCGGCACGTGCACTGATAAGCAAACCAGACAAGCTTATGAAGGGACGTTTCGGGAAGGCTGCAAACATCATGATGCACGTTCCTAACAAACCGACGATCTAAAACCCGGCAAGGCAGACCCATCACATCCGTTTCCACAGGCAAAGCCGACTCACAGAAACCAAGTTTAAAGTGGTGCATTTGTTTTGCTACAATAATTGCCTGTGAAGGGACCTGGCAACCAAGCACGAGCTAGTACTTTGACAATCACATTGGCCTTGGCTCAACATGAGGTACATTGAGGTACCACTGACCAATGCCATTGGTAGAGTGACATTTAACAAAATCTGTGGTGGCCTGGTGCCTAGGCTCCTAGACCAACTGTCTAGATTCCATCATCTCTTCCACAATCTATTCCGGTCCCATCGTGGCGAATTCCCAGCTCTACATACCAGCAATTAGCTCCACCATTTGTCAAAACACACCAACCCCACTTGGACCAATGACCTGTTCTTCCATGTTCTTCCATGTTCTTCAAAGACCACCGTTTCTCCACCATACACCATCCACCGGTACGCCACACATCCACGCCGTGCCACGCCGTGCCACGCCGTGCCGCCTTCTCGTAGATGTACTCCACGCTCGCCAGCAACGCCAAGTTCCGGCGCCCCGAAATCTCGCGGTCACAGCCTGGCGACGAACCACGCTCGGTCGACCACGGTGCACCGTGGTCGGTGAGGCCGGGTAACACGGTGCAACGAGACGAGCACTGCTCTGGAGAACAAGGACACGTGCGGGTCTCCTCTCACAGCTTTTTGCGTTCAACCCCGTATGGACCTATCACTTGGCAGGGCAGTCTCCTTCTGAGAAGCCGTATTGAAGGTTTAGGAGCTGTCTGAGTGGGAGCTTGAGGCTCGAGCAAGTCCAGTGCCCTCCATGACAGAATAGCATTGCGAGGCCTGTGTAATCATACTTGGTAAAATAGATTGAGAAGGTTCAATGTCCATTCAATGGCCTCTTCGACACTCCCCATCGCCTCTCTATCCTCTCTCCTTTTTGACTCTATTCTTAGTGATAGTGGGCGGGATCTGGTTTTGGGGGGGATCTGGCCATGTCTGCCTCTGGCCATGTCTGCCTCTATGTGTTGTAAGACTTCAAAGCTGACGACTTCCTTGAAACGCGTGTCGCGGGTGCGCGCCCATCTATGTCCCCATCGGGGCCCCCGGCGGAAGAGTTCGGAGGTATCTTCAGCGCCCGCCCCATCCTGGTGAGGACTAGTCGGACTAGTGGCAGTGGCGAATAATTCAACAAGCCCTTCAACAAAGGAATGATTTGAGGGTCGCGACCTGGAATCTGGACCCTAAAAACCCAAGGAGAAACTGTTCAGACTGCTTCAGACCCACAATAACACTGCCAACGACAATCACCAAAAAACAGAGAGCCAAACGGAAAATCATGGAACCTCGCGCACGCGTTGGCGGCGCGCTCCAGGCGCCTGGCTCATCTTCTTCAGCACTTTGGATCGCTTCGCATAGGCGGTCTCCAGATGCTTCTTGGCCTTTCTTGCAACGGGAGATGAAGGAACATCGCATCAAAAACCATGTCTTCCTTCAAACATCCGAGGAGTCACAGATCGACCATCTTCCGAGGTATCAGTCCCAAACTCCAAATTGGACCTTGCAACCCCATTGGCCCCTTCCCTTCAACCACCCCTACCCTACTGGTAGCCTTTGCAATAGCTGCTGGCTGTGTAGGGCTCTCATGTCTTTCAAACCAAACTCAAGGTGTTGAGATTGTGATGCAAACTTTTTCAGGTGCCCACATGGCAATGTGTCAAAAGCGACCTTGGGGCAATGCCATTGCATCCCCCAAGACAGGCCCCAACCACCCAAACCGTTCGGTGTTGCGAAAGTGAAACCCATCACCGAAGTTCTCTTCGCTTGATGTTCCAGGGGAGGCTCGCAACAGTGGTCGGGCAAGTAGATTCCTAGATGGAAACCCATGAGTTGAGAACATCTTGTTGTGAGCCAAACCCACCTTCAGTGCCGAGGCCTGCTGCAAGGCTTCTTCTTTCTCGCCCTCGTCCACCGCCTTGCTCGGCAGATTAGACAGGTGATGCAGTGAGGTGAGTTACACGGCAGCGGATCAGTGTCAACGTCACCCAGAGCAACAGAACGAACTGGCTTAGACATAAGGTAAGTTTATATGGCCCCCATTGCAATGACATCTGGGACCATTTGGGTTCATTGCCCATTACATCATCACAACTGGTGAGGTAGGTTGGGAGTCCAAGAAATACCTAATATATACTTATTGTATTGATGTGATGTATCTGTCTGAGATCCTGGTTCATGTTCATAAGGGATCTGGAGCTGGGGTTGGTTAGAGTTAGAGATCATTGATACTACCTAATTATATACGGTCAATTTGTTCAACAAATCAAGAACCCCAGCTTTGGGGGGGCAGGGACAGCGGTGAGACCCCTCAGCTAGCGCCTCTAGGAGTGGAAGTGGCTCTTCTAGCCGCTGGCGTGGAGCAAGCCACGACCCCCCCCAGCCATGTCCCATGCACCGACCGGCACCTGCCCCTCTTCTGGTGACATCCAGTCATTGGAATGTTGCTCCGTCTTCCCTTCCAGGCGCTCCTCGTTTCGGCATCGTCGCAAAACCAAAAAGAGACACCTTCCAGCCGCGCCCTTCTGCATGAGAACTGCCATATGCGGCCGTGAGACTGACACCGATTCGTGGTGAAATCGCTTGGCGCAAGGTTACCGCGTTCGGCTCGGTTGCAGGGATTCCTTCGCTCTACGGCTTGGGATGCTTAGGCATAAGTATCGAAACCCTGCCACCTCAGGCGAAAACACGGTACACGGTACACGTCCATACTGGGGTCCGCCGGGTCCGCTGGTCTCACCCACAAAAAACATACAAAACATGTCTGCAACCACTAGCTTTCAGGGCTCTTGAGACTTTGGATGCCGACGCAATGAGTTTGTGAAATCACACAGCACCAGCTGTGCACGGCACCAGGATGTCTGAACCATCTGAACCGAGGGTCAAACTCGCTACATGGTGGACCAGTGAAAAGGGCTCCAGGATCTGACATGTTCAACACCCCATAGCCCCATAACCAAAAATATAGCTCCACAAAAAAAAGACATACATCCAGCCGCAAATCCCAAACCTCCCCACTTCATGCCCCACCTGGTCCAATCCGACTACACGACACCCCCTGACCGTCCGAAACCCCATCCCCCCGGAGCTCCCAGAGGTCGCGGCTCAAGGGCTGCTCCGCTTGGGATTCCTCTGGGCGGTGACGCGAGCCACGTGCAGCTCAGCCGCAAAGGAGTCAGTCAGTCTATGGGGCTTTCTGAAAGTGATGTAAACATCCATGTCACACGGAAACCACTTTCCCATCCTGCAAGGCTGTGTCGATGTCCACCGTCTCATCCGCCCGAAGATACCTCACATCGCACCCGACCCGGTCCGCGGCGGAGCGACGCGACCGACCCTTCAGGCGTTCTCCGCATCCACCGGCGGCCCGGACAGCATGAACTTGCTCGGAGCGGCCTTGACCTGGGTGGCGACGGCGGCAGCACCGGAGACTCCGGAGTTCACAGAGTTCAGAGAGAGGTGGTTTCGTTGGAAGATCGACAGGTTGGATGAAACCATCGATGTCCGATCTCATGAATACATCAATGCTGGCAATTGTCCTGCAATATCTTGATTTATATTGATCTTTAATGTTCTACGTTGTTAGATTTGTTAGTCACCACTTCGCTGCCACCTCTTCTCATCCCATCTCATCCCACATCTCTGCTTAAGAGCTTTTTTCGACCTTGATCTGAAGGCTTGTCAGCAGCTCTCGAGTGAAACTGCCCCCATGGGGCACCACTTCCACCAGCTCCACGGCCCGGCTCCCACGCGGCCCACTTTCTGGTGCACGGAATCGCTTCAGGTCCTGACCATCGAGTCATGTGAACAGTCATGTGACTCCAAATGGCTGGATAGCCCTCGGGCCCCAGTCACAGTTGACGAACATGAGAGCCAACATGAAAGCCAACATGAAAGCCAACATGACCTCCGGAAAGACCAAAAGGTCCGTCCGAAACTCTGTTATTATAGGTGTTCTTTTTTTTGGGCGACTCCCACATGCACCCCCTGAATACCAAGGGTTGATCTTTGGACTTTATTTGTGCATTCAACGTTCACCCAATAACCGGGCGGCTTTTGGATCTCTGGTCGTGGACCCAAAGAAAAAGCAGTGCGATTCCGCGCTTGACCTTCAGCGTTTTCATGTCAGCACTGTGACATGGATGATCGATTGATATGATTTCCTGGTCCTACTTATTGCTATGTTAAAACTACTTATGTGAAAAAAACAAAACACATCAGTTCACTACAATCCACGGCCTCCCTGCGATTCCACGCGCGTTCCACTCCCTCCCTCCCTTCCAAACCCCGCCTCGCACAGCCGGCGACCCATCTTCCACTCCGCCAGCCGCCCGACGTCGCGGTCGTGCCACGAGCGTCCCAAGAGGTCCCAACACTCCAGGGCCACCTGGGCGTCCACCGCGAGCGAGCGAACCCGCGGTGCAAAAGACTCCGCTTTCCAAGCAAAAAGGATTGGAAAGGGAGCGTCTTCAAACTGCCCCCCTCTTTTTGGGAAAATGCTCCATCGCTGCATCACAAGAGACTCCTCTAAGTACTGGCAGCCACTACAAGATACTACAATCAGCTCTGCTGCCTTCTCTCCTCCCTTTCAAAGCACCATTTGGTCCTTTGGATACCATTCTTTCTTCGGCCGACCCCACCTGGAGCCCATTTCCACCATGAGCTTCCTCAGCGTTGCCCACGAGCAAGATCTTGGTCTCTCTGGCCAAGCGGGGAAGAGTCGCCAACATAGCAGGAGGCTGCTGACATTCCTGCACGGGGAAAAACAAAGCAGCCTATATACGTCTTTGGAAGACCAAGCGGTGGCCAAGCGATGTCTGAACCTGTCAGAACCGTCCTTACTGAATTAGACTGAATTAGACTGAATGAGACTTGTAAGTTTCAGATGATGTGTCTGAACCCTGGCGACTAACCAGCCATTCAGAAACCCATCATAATACTAACCAGCCCGGGTTTGATGTCTCAACTCATCATGGTGAGTACTATGTGGTCGCCAATCCCGCCACCCTCGGCTCCGGAGCATCCCATGATCCATCGCCCTAGTCCGTGAATGATCTGTGCTTCTCTATGTTCATCCTTGGGTGTTTCCCTATTTCTTCCCCATGTGATTCAGGCTACGTCAAAAAGGTCGTCGCTTCACATGTGACCTGCCAAAACATACCAAAACCCTGCCGGTGGCCACCCCGCCCAGACGTCCTCTTGTAGAGTTGTGGCAGTCATTGCACTAATGGCATCTGCAGATGGATGCATCAACAGCTGCATGGCTGCAAGCCAGCGTCGTTCCCTTTTCATCACAACCAAGGTTGAGTTCAAAGACGTCGCATCTGCTTCACCTCCAAAGTCTTCAAGGTGTTGCAAAGCCACCAACCAAGACCCCACGTGGGACAACCTTAGGTGTGCGGTGGCGGCCCAAGGTTGAGGAAGCCTGATCCACCATGGGGTACTCATGTAATGTAGTCATCTACACCAAGGGAAAAACATCTCCACACAATCCCTGGCTTTGTGTTTCTTGTTCTACAAAGGGAGTTATGATTATCAAATATGCAATTTTTCAACAAATGTGCCGAAACCCCATGAAGTTCCCACGGCCCAGCAGCATGCGCCGCTCCGTTTCCTTCAGCACCTCTACCGGCACCGTGCCACGCCGGTCGAGCTCCTCCAGCAGCCGTGCCGCACCGAGCCCGGCGCCGGCGTCGACGGCGCGGGGCGCGGCGCGCAGGGCCGAGGCCACAGTCACGGCATCGGGATGGAGCTGAAGGTCGATGGCATGCCAAAGGAGGCGCAACGACCACCGCCTCAGTGGAGACAAAAACATCAGGTCAGTTTGGCCTTTTTCATGGGACAAACCATCCAAATGAAGGATCAGTCTTAAGCTTCGGTGGTTCAGGCAGCTGACATGGTGCAGAGACATGCAGGATCTTAAGTGAAGAAGCTCCAAGATGCCCACGGTACTACCATGTTTGACGACCTGAATCACAACGACCCACCATGCAACCCGTGCCACCGCTGGCCCACTCGGTTGAAACGAATGACAAGTGTGGGTTGCAGATGATTGCAGTATCAACCCTTAATTACCCAAATTCTTCACATTTTTCAGCATGTCGTGCCCATTCCAAAAGGATGATCAATACAAAGCATGTCGGTGGCATTCAGACGATGGGGGAGCAGCTCATTGATGTTCTTAATTTTTGAAGTCCTCTATTTCCAAGCCAGCGAAAGACCAGCAAATGCAACATCGTAACATAGTCGACATAGTGCAGCATTACGTGTTCATCAAAATTCTAGGAAGTCAGTGTTGGATCCAATTGCAGGGCGGATTGACCTAAGACGTTTTGGAGGATCACTGGCAGCAAATCAAATGTGCATGGATTTATATAACCCTGTTCTGTGCAGTAACTCTCGGAACTCATTCAAACCACCCCCATTGTCCAAGTGACCATTCCGCCACATGTTGACATGCGGCAATGGCGCTGTTGAAGCACACCACATTGGGTTGAATCCTTCGCCAGGGCCACTGGTTGTGCTCGGCGTGCTGCAGCACCGACAGTGCCCGGGACCACTGGCTCGACCGCTCACACGCGGCCAACGCCGAGCCCAAGGTCGAGACGCTGCGCGGCACGTGGTGACGGCACATCTGCGACAAGAGAGCCAGGACGTGTTCCCACTTCCGAGACTTGAAGCAAGCTTGCAGAGGAATGTTGAAGGCAATGGAGGCATCCTCACCCTTCAACAAGTGTGGCAACTGTTTCAGAAGTGAATCGACCAAGAAGAGCATCTTCTGCCAGTCTCCCTGGGCCTCGGAGGAAGTACTTATCTGCGTTTCATCGAGATTTCTGAATCTGAGTACTTCACCCCAAAAAAAAACCCAAAAAAAAACAGATGAAATAAGAAGACTAGGCCACTGGCTCAAAAAACTCATTCCACCGCACAGCACCAGAGGCCGATGGTTCCGCAAGCCCTCCGCCCATCCGCTCGTTCAGCACCGTCGATCCGCCCAAGAGGCACGCAGCCAGCACGGCGCTCGTGCAACGCTGCGGCGCCTGGAGGAAGCGGTCCGGAGGACCGGGGAACCTGGCATATAGGGGCCTCCAAAGGTAACAGTCTGGTAGAGTCTGGTCTAGTTCCCGAAAAGTGAAAACACAAACTCCTGCGCGGCTTCTACATGTAGCATGTCCATTGCTGGGTCGAAAAACGCGAGGTCGGACCCCACATCGCAGAAATGGAACATCTCAGACTCCGTTGGACCCACTTCCATCCCCGCACTGCGGGGTGCTGACCTGGCTGGGGGGGGTGCACCCATCGCCCCAAGGGGCGAAGCTGAGGGGCCTGGGAGGGCATAGCCCGTTTCTTCTCATGGGCCACCAGGATGAGTTGTTGGGGGGGTCGAGGACCGCAAAATGTCTGGACTCAAAACTCATCAAAGAAGAAGAACAGGCCATCCAAAAGTCCAAGAAGAACATCAATTTGAGAAATTTCATGCGTTTGGTTTCTTGATGACGATTCTTGTCTATTGTCTTGCTTTTTGAACCTGAATGAAGCTGTC